CGTCTGATGTTCATTGGTTCATTTTCATAGAATTTTTATTTATTATTACTTTCGTCAGATGCAAGTTATTTCTGACCGTTGTGGGTTTTTCTTTCATTAACTGAGGGCGACCAGGTATTTGTCCACCAGCGTATGTGCAGCGCTGTTGTGTCCCTTTGTGGTCATTTTTGTGTCTGTGTGTTGTTTTTGTGCATCTTGTTCATGTTACTGTCACTGTGTACTTTTTAGGTGTCTGAACAAACTGTTCTTTATTGCCACGTTGTTTTGAAGCTGCTTTGATTGAACTGAAGTCGAGTGTTTTCGCTGCGACGGAGATCCTGAGACTGTGTGACAGTTTTCACTTCGCCTGAACTCTAATGAAGCTGGAGGGAAATAATGAGATCCGGTGACTGGACCGACTCTCAGACTTAATCCTGTCAGCAGAACGTCTGGATTAGCAGCCGGACCTGCTGGAAACACGGAGACCTGCCTTCATTAGTGCACCTGAGAACGAAGCGGGTCAAAGTCCTGCAGCAGGTAAACAGGGAATGCTGAGAGTTCTTAGAAAACACCGACGGCAGCCGGGCCGGACGGAACACTTCAGAAACCCAAGTCTGGTTTTATCTCACAGCAGACAGGAGGTTGGGGACCCGTTCAGACTGGTTGGAACTGGTTTTTAGGCTGGTTATGGACTGGCTTTAGACTAGTTTTAGTCTAGGTTTGGACTCATTTTAGACCTGGGTTTATACTGCTTTAGACCTGGTTTTCGACTGCTCTATACCTGGCTTTAAACCTTGCTTTAGACCTTGCTTTAGACCTGGGTTTTATACCTGGCTTTAGACTGCTTTAGACCTGGCTTCAGTTTAACTTAAAGCGGTGTAAAACCCTGTCAGATCTGCCCCTCGGCAGGTGAAGCGGCTCATCCAGAGCCGAGGAAAGTCATGTGACCGGCAGGTGACAGACAGGTGACATTCCTGAGGACGGGAGCCGGTCAGACCGGAGCTGCAGCGTGGTGGAGATGAAACCAGATCCTCTGTCTGTCAGAGAAACACAAGCAGCTTCACTTCGTACGACATGACGACGTTTGTCCTCCAGAGTAAAAACCTGATTCTGAGCATCTGGTTTCCTTCGATATGAATCAACTCGTCTCACCGTAAAGTCGAGCAGAGAAGAACCAAAGCTCAGCTGAAGGCACAAAGTCGGGCCTCTGATGTTCCTCCTCCAGCAAAACGCTCAAGAAAAACTTTCAGACATGTTTTCAGTGTCTTAATATTTAATATTGAATGTTTCAGAAACGGGCTGCAGGTGG